CAGCTGAAGTCAGACAGCTGAGACCGACACAAACAGCGTCACAGATCAGATTTCTGTCAGATTATTATCGGCTGTTATAACAAAAAAAAGATATTGAACTCCTGAAAAGCTTAAAAAAACACTTTTCTCTATTTGGGACGGTTTTGATCATTTTAGCTGATTCTAACCTTCAGAAAGTCCTTCAACTTTGACAGCTGGTCATTAGACCAGTAACGTCCTGGTTTCAGTGAAGCCAGCAGGAGCCGGCCGCTCTGAGCCGCAGCCTGCACGCATGTGGAACTGCGTCAACGCTTACGTGTGCAGCATACAAGAGTGTTTTTGCTCTTTACATTCAAACCAAAGCAACGAGCTGAGAGGCGGAACTTGTCAGGGACGTCCAGCCGGACCTCTGCCGGGGCGAGTTGAAGTCCCGGTAAATTTTTACAGACGCTCTCAAATGCAGAAAGCAAATAATCACAGAGGAAATTAAAAAACCATTACTGAATGGAACGCATTATTAAAAGATGTAATTATGAGGGCGGCACGGTGGCGCAGTTGGTGCAGCTGCCGCCTCTCAAAGAGAAGGTTGCCGGATGGAATCCTGACCAGAGGGCCCTTCTGGGTGGAGTTTGCATGTTCTCTCCGTGTACTCCGGTTTCCTCCCACAGACCAAAAACATGCATGTTAAGCTGATGTCTCGTTTGTCTCCGTGTCCCTGTGATGGACTGGAGACCTGTCCAGGTGTCCCCCGCCTCTCACACAGTGATAGCTGGACATGGGCACCAATGCCCCCCCCCCCCCTCCCCGGACCTGAAAAGGAAGAAGCAGGTAAAGATGACTGGTGGATAATTATGGGATCAGAAAATGCATTTATAATGGGATTTCCTAATGGTCGGTGTCTCCACTCAGGAACACTAGAGGGCAGTGATGTTACCGTGAGGCTACAGGAATTATTAAATAAAAACAGAAGAAATTTAGGCTTTGTCAGGAACAATCATACTTACTGACTGCGCTAAAATAAATAAATAAATAAAATCACAAACAAAAAATAAATGCATGGCTGATTTTTTTCCCCACGAGACCTTGTGAGGGTTCAAAACAGCCAAACTGAGCTGAGTCTTTAGTTCTGCTCACAACTTCCTGAGTTTCATTCAGACTAAGGTTCTAGCCGCTCGGCCCGAGAGCATCTGATCCAGGACTGCAGGCGAGGCGTTTCGCTCTGTCTGACTGGATCCAGGCCTTCCTGTTAGAGCTCAGGTCCAGTATCTTCTGAGACCAGAACCTGTCAGAGCATTGAGCTTAGATCAGGCTGAATTTCATTTAGTCTTCTGCGTCCAAACAGAACCTTGTTGTGTTGGAGCGAGTGGTCGTTATTACTGAGCTGCAGGCGTTTTCACTCAAACTCTGCATTTATTATTAATAACACCCCCCCCCCCCACACACACACACACACACACAGGTTTGTTTTGCTATCTTTGTGGGGCCTTTGCATTGACTTCCATTCATTTTTCATTCATTTCTATAGCCTAACCATGACCTTTATCCATAACCTAACCATTACCAGTACATACCTAACCCTAAACCTAACACATCCTCAATTCACACCTTAGTCCTAAACCTAGCCCCTAACCCACCAACGGGACTTCTTCTTATGGGGCCCGGGCTTTGGGCCCCATAAGGAGCAGTTGGTCCTCACAATGTAGTATAAGTTGGAAAAATGGGCCTCACAAAGTAGCATAAACAAGGACACACACACACACACACACACACACACACACACACACACACACCCCACCCACACACACACCCCCCGACAGGCTCAAATGTCTAAACAGCATTTCTGCAGATGATCAATAATCTGATGGATGTTCGGGACAGAAACCTGACCCAGGAGGGTTCCAGGTCCAAACAGCCGAACTTCAGTAAAAATACAGATTAATAAATCTAAACATTATTTTTTTAACCTCCGGGCGCGTCAGGAGGAAGTTTGGTTTTAGTTTGAGTCCAGAAACTTTAACATTAAAGATCTCAAATAAAAACACTTTAAAACCTGCGTCTCCATCAGACACCTCAAACGACGTGGCTAAAGTTCACTAAAAGCAGCTAAACCTCCCACAGACGTGCACCGTGTTCAGCGGTCCTGTCTGGATCTCCAGCTCGGACTTCAGAGCCGCAGAGTTTAAACGGGTCGCAGGAAGAACTTTTTACACAATCACAGCC